CACCATATTCTCCAGATATGGCACCATCAGATTACCATGTTTTTTCGTTCGCTGCAACACCATTAAGATGGGATTAAGAAGACATCGACATGTTTTTTGCTTGAAAGCCAAGTGATTTCTTTAATCAGGGCATTAACAACCTGATTGTAAGATGGAAAAGAATCATCGATAAGAATGGAGACTATTTCATTCAATAAATGTTTTGTTTTGACATACAAGTTGTTCGGGTTTTTTCATATAAAAAAAGCGACATTAATTTCTTGACAACCTAATATTACAGAAGATGAATGGTATTTCAACCTGAACAGCACCTTATGCGACACGTGGGATAGCTAATCTACTAGGACATAGATTCCTATAGGTACAGTCATCTTAACTTTGAACTTTTGACCCGAAGGAGGGCACCAAGTGAGCAGCACCCACCACCATAGTGGTTTCATTTGAGTCGAAGAACAGCATTCCTGTCACATACATAAAACAAAAATATTAAGTAATAGAACAAAATAACAAAATTAAGTATGATATGGGGGATGGCAATGCCACAAATATAGAAACAAGGTAGGTATGAATTCACAAAACTATGCAAAAATCACTACATAAGAAGCCAAATCTTTGTAATAATAATAACCAACAAATAACTTCTATCTGCAACTGAATGTTGAATTCCCGTCAGTTGCATGAATTCAGGTTTGAATAAAAGCATTCTTGTTATACTTGTTTGTTTGTAAACATTCGTTTGATAAAACATTTTAATATTTTGTGAGAATGCGTTGAATAGTATAGAAAGAATGATTTAAAACACAGCAACGCGTTAAAATTTATATAATTCATTAAAGATGTTAGCAGAGTAAGATTTATTACTTTTACATCAGTGTTTATTTCAAACATTTCGGGCTATTAATCAAGAAAAAAATCTTATTTTTAGCCCTTTCATACATTTCTCATATGGATGTTGTTAGGGAGAAATGTTTGAATTTACTTTCAATTTGTCACATAACTCTCTAATGGAACATAAGTTACTTTTGCTTTATTCGGCATATCTTCACAGATCAAACTAAAGAAAAACATCTCTGACCTTTTCAACCGCGAAGGACACTAAAAGCGCATTACTCTTTTCGTGTAAAGTTTACAAAATACGAACTATGTCTCCGTTAGAATGAAGCTTTGCAAGAGATACGACTGATTACTGATGTCAAGAGGTAATAGGTTTGTCTAAGCTAATTGGTAGATCAAAGAAGTCCGTTTCTGAACTACATTAGCTTGTTTCGTGAAACTTGCCGCCAAGTTGACGTCAGGACGGCACAAAAGATGGTATATAAACAGAAGTTATAACTTTCAAACCAAACCAAACTCGTCATTGTCTTGCTGAAAGATCCAGAAGAATAACGACAAGGAGAAGGCCTGTTTTGTTCCAGCAACTTCTGTTATTTTCGAAAACTATAGAGTGAGTACACATATTTGTAATGGGTTACATCAAATTATGGCTCCTGTTAATATTTTGTAAAATATAGTTATCCTCCAGCTTTTTAATTATGCTATGTTAAGATAACCTTCAATGCCTCTCGTCAAATGTCATTTTGATAATCAAAGCAAATTACTTCTAAATTTCCCATCATATAATTTTTAGATGTCTATTCAAAGATGATGTCATAAGATGATGTCTTACAAAAGCTTGGTTCCGATTAGCAGCGTCGTAGAAACTTTCAGAATAATTTATTAACTTATCATTAACGCATCTGTTTATAAGTTGTAAATACGTATATAAGATTAACCCATTTATAAGGTATACATATATATGTGCATATGATTAACCCATTTATAAGGTATACATATATATGCATATGATTAACCCATTTATAAGGTATACATATATATGCATATGATTAACCCATTTATAAGATATACATATATATATGTATATGATTAACCCATTTATAAGGTATACATATATATGCATATGATTAACCCATTTATAAGGTATACATATATATGCATATGATTAACCCATTTATAAGGTATACATATATATGTATATAATTAACCCATTTATAAGGTATACGTATTTATATCATTACCATCCTTAAACTTAACTATTTATAAATCACACACACACACACATATATATACATATGCTTAAAGACAGGTTTGCATAGATTTATAAATAGTTGGGTTAATGATAGAATTAACCGTAGAATTAGAGATTTCAAAAACTTATTATGGAAACATTTGATTTTTCGTTGCAAAATTTAATATCTGTCGAAGAAATTGACTACTTCTTTTATCAATGTATTGATATACACTTAAAATTGCCCCTATATTATAGTCCAACTAATTCATTGTAGTATATTATTTGTGTATGTTTTATAGCATAACATTGAAAACGTCGACTTCATCATAACATAGAAAGCTACTCATTTAATTTCTCAAAGTGGTGAAGACACAAAAAAAACTAGAACAAATTCCTGTATCAATTGTCCGCCCGCTAGGACAGTGGTAAGTTTAGAGAGTTACAACGTTAAGATCCACGGTTCGATTCCCCGCTGTGTACAGAACTCAGATAGCCCAACGTGTAGCTTTCCACTATCCATTAATCAACAAAACACCAGGTCCGGCATGGCCAGGTGGTTAGGGCGCTCGACTCGCGGGTTCGAATCCCCGTCACACCAAACATGCTCGCCCTTTCAGCCGTGGGGGCATTATATTGTGACGGTCAATCCCACTATTCGTTGGTAAAAGAGTAGCCAAGAGTTGGCGGTGGGTGATGATGACTAGCTGCCTTCCCTCTAGTCTTACACTGCTAAATTAGGGACGGCTAGCGCAGATAGCCCTCGTGTAGCTTTGCGGGAAATTAAAAAAAAAACAAAGTTTCGATGAATCAAGTAATGATCCCATGTAACTTATTGAACATGCGCAAATGTATCAATCTGTGTGTTGTAGTGTGTATATATACATTCGGAAACGGTGAATCTATAATAAATGATGATAAAGGGATATCTAAGTAAAAACGTTTAGAAGCCATAAACAAATATAATTTCTGCAAACATTGATGTAAGCCAGTTTAGTCAGTTGTCTAGAGTTCTGCTAAAGCATCATTTTCTGTCTACAAACTTACGAAAAAAAATCCAACATCAAACTATGTGGAAAGAGTAATACATGTTTTTCTAAACCACATTTCAAACTCGTTCCCCTCTAAATTTGTCTTTCAGTGTGAGGAATGTGTTGTAAAATGTTAACATGTAAAGCTTAAGTATGGGGAGCGTGTTGCAAAATGTTAACGCGTACACATGTGACCAGCCAGTGCATTACACGTACCAAAAATGCACAAAGTGGCATTTAAGTTAGGACTGAGGCCTTATATACAAACGGTGCAGTTGTTATTCATCTGCCTAGTTTTCATTGCAGAATATATCTTATTAAAAAGATGATACATTACGTGTGTGTGTGTGTTAGTATCCATCACCCAGAATTGGCTGGCTCGATTATCGTAATTTTTTTTGTATGATAACTGGAAATTGTCCGATGGTTTACAGCATTATTTTGTTTTAGGATTTTTGCTCGGAATGGGGATAAAAAAGCCTCTGAAATAGGGCACATTTCCTTTTTTTTTTTTTTGTTACACATCACTCACCATTGGTTGATTCGATTGCTGTGAATTTTTGTATGATAACTAGAAACGGTGCACATAGACTATTTTACTTTAGGATTTTTTTCCCGAGAAAGGAGATAAAAACACCATTAAATAGGTCACATTTTTATTTTTTAGACTTTTGTCTTTGAATTTAAAGACTTGAGTAATTAATCAGTTAAATGAGTCAGTTATTGCCTTTCACAAACCATGGTTTGATAGCATCTAATGGGATCACTAGGGATTTAATATCGAAATAAAGAAGGAGGATGAACATTATATAACAGTGTACTTTATACAGTATTTGTTTCCTTAACGGGTACCCTCAGCTAGTATATAATAATTAGAAATGATCGGTTTACCCAGCTCTCTGTGCCTCGCATTTACTGCTACAAGATGATGCGGTTTCAGCTCTTTATTCTCTTTTAATGCAAAGCTTTATAGACATGTCTGGTGTTTAAAATACTGTGCTTCTGATAAACTGTTCATAAAAGTCTTTATTTGTACGTTATTTACTACCTACCACCTCATAACGTATTCTCATTTCTAACTATAGATGCCGAACCATTGCACTTTAGCTCTGCTTTTCGAGATTTGGTTGATTGGAATAACACAAGGAAGCGTGATCGAAGTTTCAACACGATCTCCCAATGAGTATCTTACTGTTTCTCATAAGGAACACTTGAAACACTTACCATTAGAAAGTCATGCTGCCGTGTCATTTCCTGAGTTCCTCAGTAACAACTTGGAGCAGGATGACTTATGGGAGCCCATAATTGATGACAATGATGAAAATAAGATACTTCTTCTACGTGTTTCTCCAAATACTCTGGATGATGAAACAGATTCTTGGTCTCTTTACAGACAACAATTTCAAGATTCGGGAAGAACAAAAAGTAGCAATGATCCTCAAAAACGTCAGTTTGTATCTTGGGGTGGAAAAAGGGATATTGAGGACAAAGACCTTCAGAAACGTCAATTTGCTGCTTGGGGTGGGAAGAGGAATACTGAAGATATAGGCCCTCAGAAACGTCAGTTTGCCGCTTGGGGTGGAAAGAGAGATTTCGCTCCTTGGGGAGGAAAGAGAGGCCTGGGCTACAAATATAGCAAGAAAGATTTTAATGCTTGGGGTGGAAAGAGAGGACTTGATGCAATGAAATATGGCGGCGGTTACGAATAAACGTTTTTTGAAATTGGAAACCAATTTAGACAAGTGGGAAAACGTAGTTTGCATAATAAAATACATCGCTTTCGATACAGGATAAGGTTAATGATATTAATCATGTTCTTAAAATCAAATTCATATTTTTAAGAATATCTGTTTACTGAAGTAGCTGACGGTAGATGCCAGCACCGTTTATGTGAGACAAGAAATTTACGGAAAAATTCAAATGAAATAAAGCTTACAAAAATCACATATTGTTGTCATTTGTCTACTAACTTTATAAATGTATAGTTTTTCATCACCCTAGAGATAAAAAAATTGCCAAAACAATATATTTAGTTCAAGATTCAAATGTTTTGAAATAACGACTGATTAACTGAGCCCAGTGACGATGCTGTTAAGGTTTCCATGTCACCAAACAATTGTGTACTTATTATTATAGATTATTTCAGTATGTACTCTATCTAATCTTGATCTTTGAAAAGTATGGATTATAAATAATAAAAAACTAAGACCATGTAAGTTTATAAAAACTACCTATTTATAGCTTCTGATCAAAATTAAGTTAAATATATATATATATATATATATATCAGAGCTAAAAAAGTAACTTAAATATTAGTGAAGCTAGTTTTATATAAACTGAGAAGAAGAACATAACGTCAGAAATTAACATTCTAGAGAGCGATATTGATTTATAGCACAATATATCATCGTTTGAATTCTAATAGAGATATTTTCAGCCATAAACACAATAATATTTCACGAGGTTTGTCCTATTTAGATACTTAGGTTAGTTCTATATTAGTATACTAAGCTAACAATGCAAAAACTCAAAACGTAATTCAAGCAACATATTATTTCTATACAGGGAAAAACAAATTTGAGATTAACAAATTACTGGAAATATTTTGCAAATAGCTAAATTATAACGAGAAAACTGTTAATGAAATCGAAACATATTGCCACCTTAAAGCAAAATCATAACATATCAAGCAGTGAACATGAAGACTGCTCCATGAGGTCACACTTCCTAGTTTGAGAGTATTTTTAGCATCATCTATGCTCAATAATATAAGGAATTCTATAATTGAGAATATTTAATTCCGCCTTAACAGTAATCATATTTATTCCAAGTGACCAACTTAGAGTCTATAACATCGTTGAACACCCGGATTGTGAAGAATGATTCCGCCATTCTTTCTGGAAGCTTCTTCAGCTAATCCAGTGCGTCTGGTGGCTAGTTAGATGTAAAACCCATTTCTAAAGCTGACTACAGATGTTTTCTATGGTGTTGAGGTCTGGAGAAAATGGTGATTAGTCCATTCTTACAGTAGTATCCAGTAAACAGTAGCCATAGGAACACCGCAGGAATGAGGATTATTGTCCCATAAATGAAGTCAGATTCTAAAGGCACCAGCAAAAAGAAAAAAACTGACTGTAGTTGCCAAGACCTTTTTTTTTACATATCGCATAGCATTCGTTAATGGTGTATAAATCAGTAAGTTAATCAGAGTGTATTTTTTCCTACATCAACAGTCAGTTATATTTAAACATAATAAAATGAAGAACACTGATCAACGCTGGTTAAAAATCATTCACGGAGATGACAATTTGACGTGGTGTGATTTTCAACACTATAAATTCAAAATTTAATTCGTTTAAAGGTTTTTCTCAGAATATTAAAAAAAAGATATTATTTTGGTAATAAATCTCTAAGAAATTAACTCAGAGGTTTTCAAACTCAATTCATAAAGAATATTAGAAAATGAATTGGAATGAAAAAAAACGCCTTTTTTTGCCAAACGTTTCCTCCCACAAAATGCACAAAATCAACATATCAACTTTTTTATAGAAATTATAATAAGACAACAATATTTACCTGTCCGAATGGTAAAGAAGAATTTTCAAACAGTTTCTTAGAATACTGTTCTTTCATAGTATCTGGTAGTTAATAACACATTTGTTTATAAAGTTTATCATATATTCTACTTTTCAAGTTTTCTCAGTATCTGTTAATTATCCCTAGCCTACAATTTTTTTAATTTATTTTTTTTTTGCTTCCTGTTTAATCTTTTGAAAATTTCTGAAATTATCACTACATCTCTTAAATACCACAATATTAATTGTTTGTTTTTTAATTTCCCGCAAAGCTACACGAGAGCTATCTGCGCTAGCCGTCCCTAATTTAGCAGTGTAAGACTAGAGGGAAGGCAGCTAGTCATCCCCACCCACCGCCATCTCTTGGGCTACTCTTTTTCTAACGAATAGTGGGATTGACCGTCACATTATAACGCCCCCACGGCTGAAAGGACGAGCATGTTTGGTGTGACAGGGACTCGAACCCGCGACCCTCAGATTGCGAGTCGAGTGCCTTAACCACCTGGCCATGCCAGGCCACAATATTAATCAATGTTAAAGTAAGAACGCTTAGGCATTTACTGTTTTATAACAGTTTTTTGTACCAACAATCAGAAAATCTTAACTCTTGATTTATTCTCAGTTAGACTTGTTTCCTTTCAGAGTATTTGGGCAGGTTCAACAGACAATGTTAAGCAGAATTAAACTATATTTTAGACTTTCAGTTGTGAAAAGGAAAATATTGTATACAATGTAAAGTAGTATGAAATTAATCTTTACTCAAGACATAAATCAATAAACTGATGAGTGTAAACAAGAGACAGCACATTTACTGTAGTTTTCAGGGATTTCTGTGAATGAGAATCTGTTCCAGACTGAGAAAACATAACATTATATACACGAAACAACAATGTCATTCTTTTCCAGAACAGTTGCACTAACCACGTGACTATTGGTCATGTCTCCTGTTGGGACAGCGGTGAATTTAGGGACTTCCAACTCTAAAGTCCGGCATTCGATATCCCGCGGTTAAAACAGCAGATAGTCCAACAACCTGTTGGTCATTTCCATCGAAAAATAAGAGAGGTTGCAACTTTAAGAAATTATCTGGCTCGCCAGTAAAAAATATCACTATTTATCTTCACATATTCTATTTTCCTTTGTAGAAATCTTCGCCACGAGACAGTGCACGTGATACCCTAGACCAGGGGGTCACCAAATTTTTTTCACAGCGGGCCAGATAACTGAAAGAATGACGAGCGCGGGCCGCATAACCATTTTGTTCAATACAATACAGTGAATACACAAAAAATAAAGACAACAAACATGTTTACTTTCCAAAAAATTATCAACGAAGGCGACGTCAGCAATAAGATAGTTATATAA